AGATAGATAGATAGATAGATAGATAGATAGATAGATAGATAGATAGAAGAGACAGAGAACATGGGAATTATCACCGGTCAGATCCAGTTTCTTAGAAACTTCTCCACTTTGACATTGGTGAGAACTCACCCCCTCTGGACCTGAGTCCTTTTAATGGTAATGGCAAGAGTTGTGAGGATTAAAGGATAGTGTAGACCCGAGTCAGACTTAATGTCTACTCAGTGGAGGCTATGGTATAAGATGCGGCAATGAAGACATTTCTGCCCTACTCTTGAAACTTTCTCCCAAATAACATCCATTCCCTGTGCTGTGCTAAAACACCATGACTGAAAGCAACCTAGGGAAGGAAGAATTTGTTGGGTCCTCAGTCCCATGTTATAGTCCATTGTAGGAACTTAGAGCCTCCCATCCTCAGTCAGGATTGCAGAGAAACGAATGCATCCTTGCTGCCTGCTTGCTTCTAGATTTCTCGACTGTTATATAGTCAGAGCTGCTCTGTGTAGGGAATGGCACTGCCCACAGTGGGCTGCGTCTTCCCCACCTCAACAACCAAGACAATCCCCCACAGGCCAACTTGATGTAGCTCATTCCTCAGAAGGCTCTCGTCCAAAGTGACTGTAGATTGTGTCAAGCCCACAGTGAAAAGCAACCAGCACATCTACCCTGAACCTAAGGCAGAGCTGTGGTGGAGGAGTGGTAAGCACCTCGGAAGGACAGATCACGCTGAAATGCTGAAGGATCTATGACAAGAAGCAAGGTACACTTCCTCGTGAGGTTCCAGAGTCTACAAAGCTCGAGGTCTCACATGCTGAGCATCACGGAACATGAGACCAGAAGCTGATGAAAGCGAGAGGTCTACGCTGTAAAGCAACTTCCGCCCCGCCTCCCAAACTCCATAGAGCTGTTTGGAGGACAAGAGGTGCTGTCTCCAGGGAAGCTTAGGGGTCACACACCGAGGTTGTGGAGCTTATGGAAAACTGAGACTTAAACAAATGCACTTGCATCCCCTGAGGGCAACAGCTAGGCTATGGTGAAGCATGGGGCCTTTGGAAATCAACCCACAGTGAACATCCTTCTGGAAATAGCTCCTAATCAACATCAGGACCTAATGATCGACATCAGGACCTAATGATTATTTGAAATGGATATTCCCCAACAAGAAACATCAAGATAAAGAAAAAAATTTGGCAGTGATGATGGAACACACCTTTAAGTCTAGCACTTGGGAGGCAGAGGCATGGGGGATCTCTGTAAGTTTGAGGCCAGCCTGGTCTACAGGACAGTCAGGGCTACACAGAAAAACACTGTCTCTGGGAAAAAAATAAAGGTAGAAAGACAGATCAAAATTTTCTAAAGGCAGTAAGTGAAATAAGTAATAGCTATATTTACTTATTTTTAGAAAGGGCAATTTTTCTATAAGCATACTTTAAATGCCTAAAAACAAGAAAACTTTTTTTTGGATTCATTTTTTTCTTTTTCCTTCTTATTCAGGACTTTTTCCTGTGAAGGAGTTAGAAGAAGGTTAATGTCAGATTGATCTCATAAAAAGGAGAATAAGCAAGGGAATGGGGTGACCTACAAGAGACAGACTATAAGACAATGTGAAACTAAGACCAGGGCCCCTGGGTGTCAGCAGTTCCAGTAACCAGAGAGGTGGATGCTGAGGTGCTCTCTGAACCAGAATGGTTCAAACCACTGCTCCAAGAGGTGAGCAGAGGAGACTTAAACCAATGTATAACCTTAGGAAATTTCAGAGTATAGCACTGATAAAGGAAAGGGAATAGTCTAAAAACTCCAGAAAGACCTTGAGCAACACACAGACTGACAGTCACACCAATGAGAGCTTGAGAAAAAGAAACCTTGAGGCTCACCCCACAAGTGACACACTTCCTCCAATAAGACCACACCTACTCCAACAAGGTCACACCTCTCTCCTATAGTGTCATTTCCTTTGGGGGACCTGAAACACAATTAATGAAAGCTCAGAGAGAGAAATTGGGGTTCAACCTGAAGACCAGAAAAGTAAAACAGCTAGCCACTGGCTCGTACCTCTACCTCAGTACAAAAATGGCCATCCTGCCTTCCGGAATCTCAGAATGAGACTGTGTCTGAGAGCTGTCTCCTCTCGTTTTATATTCCTCTCTAGTTCTGGGATTAAGGGCATGCACCACTACTACCTGGTTTCTATGGCAAGCTAGTGTGGCTGCTGGGATTAAAGGTGTGTGTTATTGCTGCCTGGTCTGTAAGGCTGGCCAGGGTGGCTGTTTGACTTTTCTGATCCTTAGGCAAACTTTATTTATTAAATACAAATGGAATGCCATTACAGAGGCCACTTTCTTTTTTTCATTTTTATTTTATACTTTATTATTTTTAATTGAGCTATGCATTTCTCCTCCCTTCCCTTTATTCTTCCCCTTCCCCTTCCCTCCCTTCCTCCCTTCCCACACATTCCCAATTTACTCAAGAGATCTTGTCTTTTTCTCCTTCCTAGGCAGATCCATGTATGTCTTTCTTAGGGTGTTCTTTGTAGTCTCGGTTCTCTGGGGTTCTGAACTGTAGGATGGTTATTCTTTGCTTTATGTCTAAAAACCTCTTATTAGTGAGTACATATTATATTCATCTTTCTGGGTCTGGGTTACCTCACTTAGTATTTTTTTCTACTTCCGTCCCTTTGCCTGCAAACTTCAAACCACCACAACCCAAGTTCTCAATGGTAACACCATAGCCTAGAATATCGGTTGACAAAATCATAACACCTACTGAAAATGATCTTCAATCGGGAATTCCAAACATGGATGCTAACTGATGAAGGTAGAATGAAGATGTTTTTAGATGAGCAAAGTACCCAGAAGTTTATCTCCCTGCATCTTTGCCAGGAAGGTGAGGAGGGGGCATTGAAATTGGCCCTCTAAGACAAGGGGACCAAACAAGACAGAGGAGATGGTATTCAGGAAACAGAGATTCAGGGCAAGAAGGATGCTCAGGGGGATTTCCAGGGTGAGAAAGGGCTTAGCTTAGGAGTCACAAAGCAGAGCCCCTCCTAGGGCCGCCACCACTAGTTCTGATTGGAGTAGGAACTTGGTGACTGTGAGAAAGGAGGCTATCAATAGGGACCTGGGAGCAGCTGTAGAATAGGAAAGTGGTCAGCCAATTATCAGAGGTGACGCAGGAGAATTGTATCGGCAGCTATTTCATGGTGTTAGTGGGAGTGGAAAAATTTAGCTGAAAACTC